CCAGGCTGCCTGCGCGCAGGTTTGGGGGTGGAAGAGATCTGGACGTGTAATGTTAATTTTACCTGTGATCCTTTGAATAAACCAGCACGGTTATTTTTTATATATCCAAGTGGTCTACTTCATCTTTGTGAGTTCCTGGTTTAAAAGAGCCGGAAGAGGCTAATAACAAAATTAGCTTATACCTATTTATCTCATTTCAATGAACATTCCTTTGTTGTCTGCATTGTTACTGTCTGTTTATACTGCTTATTCTGCATTTTTTGCACTGGTTGTTGATGTTAATACTGCTATTTTGTTATATTACACAGCCTCATGCTGGTTTACTGTTTGCACATTGAGAGCCGATGTGATTCTGATTCTGATCTGGTATACCGAATAAGAATTAAAATCTTATTGACTTGCAGCTGCGCAAAAAACTAGAATTCCTAAATTTAACATTCATAATTTTGTCAAATATTTGCAAATATTTAAGGTGAAATTCAGTCCAATTTACTGTAATTTGTTCATTAAAGAGCTTTGAACTGTTGTTTTAAAGAGAGATATTCACTTTACCATTAGAAAACAGAAAAACTTGATTTTTTATGTTTTTACAATAGAACAATTATAGATTGTTGGATATATAATTTCTAAATTGTTTCTGATCAGAAAATCAATCTACTAATCAGTTCTAATGAAAGGATATCTCAGTTAAACATCATTATTCATCACTTGAACTAGAATTAAAAGCTAAAATACTAAAAAATAAAGCCAACTTGTTATATTTTTCCTGTCTCATGTCCTGACTTTATAATGTGGCTATTTCTGAGAAACCATCACATGTTGGTAATAAAAACATCACTCACCATGAAGTGCTGATGAGCAGACCGATGATGTGGTTGAGACTCGGTCTGAGTAACAAACCCACACATTTATAAACGTCTCACACAGAAACACAAAGACACACCCACAGCTGTGAAAGGAAACTGGAGCAATCCTGAGGTAACAAACATGACAAAACGTCCAAAGCCCATTTCCAGAAAAGTTGGAACATTTTCCAAAATATCAAAGAAAAACTCAAATCTGAGATTTGTTAATTTGCCTGAAACTTTATTTCAATGACAAAAGTACAAAGAAAAGGGTTTCAGTGTTTCCACTGGCTAACTTCGTTGCATTTTGGAAATATAAACACATTCACAGTTTGATGCCTGTAACACAGTCAGACGAGTCGGGACAGAGGCCTGTTTACCGCAGTGTCACACCACCTGTCCTTTTAATGACACCGTTTAATCGTTTGGGAACTGAGGATACAAGTTGTTGCAGTTTTGCAAGTAGTTTGCTGCTGGACACAAGACTAGAGCTGCTCAATGGTTCGTGGTCGCAGCCGTCTGACGCTCCTCCTCATGATGCTCCATCTATTTTCAACAGGAGACAGGTGTGGGCTGCAGGCAGGCCAGTCACGCACACGCACTCTGTGTCTGTGAAGACACGCTGTTAATGGGGCCTGGCGGTGGCCTGCTGAAATGTCCACGGACCTCCTGGGACAAGACGTTGCCTTGATGGCAGTGTATGTCTCTCTAAAATCCCAATATATGTCTCCACGTCAATTGTACCTTCACACATGAGCCAGTCGCACATGCCATGGGCGCTGATGCTCCCCCCACACCATCACAGGTTCTGGCTTTCACACCTTTCGCTGATACCAGTCTGGATAGTCTGATGTTCATTTTTCCCAAAAAGCAGCTGAAACGTGGACCTGTCTGTCAGTCCGTCTGGCCTGAGCTGGGCCCAGAGAACTCAGCAACCCTTTTGCACAGACCTGATGTCTGGCTTCCTCCTCATGTAACAGTTTCATGCTGCATTTCTGGATGCAACAGCAGACAAATAAAACAAACAACCGTTTTCCAAAATCCTCCCGAGCCCATGTGGCTGTACTCATCACAGTAGCATGAGGGTTTCTCATGCAGTGGCTCCTGAGGGCTCGAGGGTCACGCACATCGAACAGTGGTCTTGGCCGTCGGACTTATCGCACCGAGATTCACCCAATTCCCTGAATCTTTTCCCTGTATTAGATTAGATTAGAAAACCTTTCTTTATTCCTGCCGCATTATGAACTGAAGATGGTGAAAGACCTCTGTCATTTGCAATCTGGTGCTGAGAAATATTCTTTTGGTCTGACTGACAGTTCTCTCATCGAGTTTGGCACAAAGCGGTGCCATGGCCCAACCTTGACTGCAAAGACTGAGCCTTTGGTGGCTGCTCCTTTTATACCCAGTTATGATCCCCCCACCTGTTGCCAGTTAGCTTGCTGGTTTTGGAATCTCCCAGAACAGTGTTCCTGGAATATTCTACAAACCTTTCTGTCTTGTTCAGCCTCTGTGCCAACTTCTGTGAGTGTGTTGGAGGCATCAAATTCTACATGTTTATATTTAGAAAATGCAATTAAGTTGGTCAGTGGAAACACTGAAAACCTTTTCTTTCTACCTTTTGTCAGTTAAATAAAGGTTTGAGTGAATTAACAAATCAGATTTGTGTTTTTATTGCATTTTTGAAAATGTCCCAATGCTTCTAGAGAGGCAGTTAGCATGAAACCTCGGAATCTGCATTTAGTTCACTGGTTCCCACCTAATCTGTCCTCAGAGTCCAGATGTTCAGGTCCCAGTCCACATGGGGACCACCTGAACTCCCACTCAGGGTCAAAATGACAAAACAATAATAAGCACTGCAGCAATGGGTTCCTAAAAGCAACATTTAAAAGAAAAGCTGCAGGTTGAACTAATGTAGGCATTTTCAGAATGAACTATTTTAAACCTGAGAACAGAGCAACATAACTCCTGCTGACTGCCACTGACATAGGAACAGTTGTTATTAAACTGCTGTATAAAAATTTTCACATATTTTTAAACTCTCGTTTGACATCATCAGCCGATTCTTCAGACACCTGTTCCAGAAACTGGACAGAAAAACAGCAGGATTTCCCTGCCTGAGAAATAATACGACATCATTGATATATACTGATCAATGATCACAGACAGTGCAGTGGGATAAATGACTAAATATGTAAAACATGATTGAATAATGACCTGTTCATTTCCAAACAATCTGCTGTCTTTCCACTCATAATAATAATAATGATCGTTTACAAAGTGCTTTACAGACCAGAAAAATAAAACCAATGAGACTGTGCAAGGAGAAAATAAAAAGTCACACCAAAATTAAACAAATGAACACAATATGTCAACTAATATAACCTAGTCAGACTTCCTCATCAACTTCAGGGGAGACCAGTAACAAGCAGATGACACAGTCTCCTAGATGGGTGTGAACCAGCTGTGACAGAGGGGCTTTAATCCGACTGGACACCGCTAGAACAGGACTCACAGCTCAGCTCTGTCAGGACAGTCTGTGATTGATTTGAACTCCTGGTGTGACCGGGTCGTTACTGGAACAAGTCACTGGGAGCTGGATGGCTTAATGTGCCTTTAACTGGTACCAGACCAAGAAAGACCAACACCAACAGTATGAAAGTCAGAGGTTATTAAGGCAGGAAACACACTGCTCATTCAAGACAGACCAGACCAGGACTCTGTGATTCACATCTGGTCACTTCATCTTTTTCTCTATTTTCAGTTCTTCTAAAATGGCATGTCTCATTTTGGCTCCTCTGAGTCACCGTGTAGTATCCAGGACAACAAAGCCTCATGGGAAACCTGCTCATGGGTAACCTATTATTGGTCTACACCAGAGTTTGAAAGGAAATGGAGTTTGGATCAACCGGGCTGACCATTTGAAGAAGTAGATCTGCACCTCAAACAAACCGGTGCATCCCTAGGGACCCATTGCTGCCTCTTGTACAGTGACCAGCTCTGTTGTGGTGCTATTGCTAACATTTGTTGTTCTAACTACTTCAGCTTCAGTGTTAGCAATGTTGTTTTCTTCTATGTTCTCAGTAACATTAGTAGTAGCATTTTGGTCTTCTTTGAAATAGTAACGTTACCTGGGGAAGAAAATCAGATCTTCCTTGCTTGCTGTTGTTTACTATTGTTACTGTGGAAAGCTCCCTGAGGAGGAGGAGTTTACTAATTAAATCATTTTAAACCATTTTCACACAACCATATTCCTCTGTTTCAAACTGCTATGTCTACAATTGAAACAAAATGTGTTATTTTTTTTATTTGGGGTTTTTATCAGTATTATTATTTTAAATCTTTTATTGCTGAGTACAAAATGCTACTGCCTGAAGCCACCAATAGGTGGGGCGACTGTGGGTTAGTGGGTAAAGCGGTCGTCTCCCAACTGGAGGGTTGGAGGCTCGAATCTCAGTGCCTGCAGTCCATGGGCCATTGGTGTGGGTTGGCACAGCGGATGGCTACCTTGGTTCTGTGTGTAACATACTTGGCGAAATAAAGGTGATTATCCTTAGGTGGTGCTTCAGCACCCTCAGTAGCCCTTATGCTGGGCCGAGACCCTGAGGCCCTTCATTGCAGCCTGTCTCTGTCCAGTCGTTTGACATAAAAGTGTGAGCATTTCCATGCTGGATAAACCTTATTGCCACATATTATCAAAAATACAAGAAATTTCACTTCAGCCCAATGATAAAACCATTAAGACATTTGAAATGAATTTCAGACATGAGCAAGTTTAAAGTCCAGAACACACCATGGTCTGAGACAAGAACATCTGGGCAGATAAAACATGGGATGTTTATTAAACCACAGGCAATCTCTCAATCCAGTGATGACCATGACACCTTGAATCCACGAGGACAGTGGTTTAGTTGGATGAGCTTCAGGCGTCGACAGCTGTCGCATGACCAGAACAAAACCACAAAGCCTCAGCGTGGTGATGACACTTCCTGTGACCTGTAGTCAGCAGAGCTTCACACGTTTTTTCAGACCACATGGGTCAGCAGTGAGCTGACGCTGCACTTTACATAGTGCCAAAAAACAACAGCATCTTAACTCAATCTTTGTTGTTGTTAGAGGCTGACTGGCTGCTGAAGTGTCAATAATGCCTGTAACATCACTGGTACTTTTTATTTATTGCTCATGAGCTGCATCCATGTGTTATTCTGTGGGCTAATTTTTTTGCATGAATTTAAGTGTCAGATCAGAGGACAGAAACTAAGAATCCGGCTGGAGCGCAGCTCCTGGGCGCAATGCTGGCCATTGTGTGGAAGGTTGGTCTGGTCTTCTACACCCGCTTTGAGACCTCCAACCACAGCACAGAGAGGAAGCATGCACACACCTGGCTCACCCAACACCCCCACCTCCCCTCCACTAACTGTCTCACCAGGCCAGGTACGCACAGTCCTGAGGAAGATCATCCCCCGCAAAGCAGCAGGACTGGACATCATCCCTGGGAGGGCTCTCAGGGCATGTGCCAGCGAGCTGGCTGATGTTCTCACCACCATCTTCAACCTCTCCCTCAGCCAGAGCATCGTTCCCACCTGCTTTAAGACCACAACCATCGTCCCCCTTCCCAAGAAGAGCACGGTCACCTGCCTGAATGACTAAAGGCCAGTGGCACTCACCCCAATGATTATGAAGTATTTTGAGAGAGTGGTGCTGGCCCGCATTCAGAGCAGTATACCAGACACCCTGGACCCCCTGCAGTATGCCTACCGGCCCAACAGGGCCACCTCAGACGCCATCGTGGTTGCCCTCCACTATTCCCTTTCTCATCTGGAAAATGGAGACTCCTACATCACGATACTCTTCATTGGCAACAGCTATGCC